CACTTTCAGAAGACGTAAAAATCCTTCCCCTTCCACAATAGAAGGCCGCAAATAGTTGCAGACAAAAAACGCTAAACCCTGCGCTGTTTTGTGGTATTTTGAACATACCTTCAAAATAGAAACCAAAATTAAAACTTGTATGTTACTATCCGTACTAGCATCAAAAAACCTTTTCCCTTTCAACATGTTTTCTCATTTAGAACCGCTAGATGTTGATGGCTGTGTCATATCCAACTGAAGTTCTTCAATAGACTTCACAAAATAAGCTATATCTTCATAAATATGTGTTCTGTTAGTTTGGGCAGTGTTTACACTTTTGATAATTCGATTCGATACGAGTATTTGTATCGCAAGCAATCGCAATCGAAGCCAAGTATCGTACTTGAGGCTAAATACGGGCCTTAGTGGTGTCAATTGGCCTCCAAGATCCTCCGACTTAACGCCGTTAGATTTCTTTTTGTGGCGCTATGCGAAAGATCGTGTTTACGCTAACACTCCTCAAACTCTTGAGTAACTCAAAGCCAATATCCGTGATGTTATAACCGAGATATTACGGGTAATGTGCCAAAAAGTCATTCAAAATTCCCTCAAAAGGATTGAAGCCTGTAGGAGGTCCCATGGAGGCCATTTAAATGATATTGTTTTTCACGTATAATGGCAAAGTTTAATCTTTATATTTTCGTCTCCATCTGAATGTTTTGTGTGTGTTTTTACTTTACTTTCCCAGGCATAAAATGTATCCATAAATTGCTTAGAACTTTTAATATGTTTCTATTAAGCGTCAGAACATAAAAGAAACTGGTAGGCTTAGGCAGATACTGAAACTGCTGTTTGCAGGAAACAATTAACCAGACGGCGCGAGAAACAATGGCAATTTCTAGAGCCTCAAAACAGTAAAATGTTTATGACCTTTTTAGAGGCACCTGGGCATTAAGAGTTTAGGAGTGGAACATCCAAGCACCCAGAGAGGCTGCATTAGGTGCAAAAAGCGCTAGTAAAACTCCGTCCATTTGAACACTTTATGACGCACGGTTCCCTAAATATTTAACAGGAGTGAACAAATGACTGCAAAGCGTCCGAAAGGACAAGCAATATGTTGCTTCCAGAAAATTCCTGAAAAAACCGCACTCCAAAATTTCGGTTTGCACTCACTTGATAACTGAGCACATCGCAATGTTCCCATTTCTTCACTATCGTTCATTAATTAAAATGAAGGCAAGAAGATCGCAGGACGCTCAGGAGCCAATTTTCCCAATTTATGTCCTGTTTTCGTTTGCGCATGCATCAGACCTAATTAGTGCTCATAATGCATAGTTTGCTAAATGTTCGATAGCATCTACTCCAATACGTAATGCAATAAGAGGGCGCAATGATAAATCATATTAGTTAGTAGGCAAAGTGTCAGCTAAGTATTACAGCTATGTTTACGCAAGAGCTGATAATGATGTTCAGCATTTGGCAATTGTTTAGCTGCACATATTTTGATGGAAAAAAGTGGCGAGCTGGCAAATGAACATAAATCGCATTTAATTTCTGCTGGAAGACGGGAGGAAACTTGATGTAAAGCCGTTAATAACTCAAAAGTGAACAAAAGCCAGCCTAAATCACTAGAGATGAAAAATGCGGTTAGTTTCAGTTGCGGCGTATGTGGTTTCAGTGTAATGGATTCGCTTTGTCCGGGTAATTTATGGGGGACTTTTTCCAGAACCTGAGGAATGTTTAAATTTGCTGATGCTCTCATTTCTCATAGCAATGCAGCTACTCTAGTGAACTAGACATGTTTGCGAGGTTTATTCTCTCATTGATACCAAAATCCACCACACATGAGTATTTTCATGCAAGTAGCAACACGAGCTGATACAAAAGCGGACACTTCACTAGTCTGCAAGTTAAAACCGTATATTAGATCATTAATAGGGAAAAGGGCATTGAAATAAAATAACTATATATTTATCTCAACACAAGCAGAACGTATTTTATCATGTTGATACAACGAGTTCTTTAAGGCTTTCTTATCAGACTGAAATTCATCGATATAATTCGGTTGAGCTCAACCATTTATGCTTAGATCAGCGACTAAAAATTCCGAGTCGAATTCTCTGAATGTAAACATAGATTATGGCTTTTCTCCTTTTTACTGACAAAGAGGAATGATACCATTTACTTTTCCCCCATTTTTTTGTGCAGGGATGCCAATATCATACCGGGTTTTCAACGGTGCAAAAGAACTCTTAAAACCACACAAATACACAATGTGAAACAATAGAATACGCCTGAGGAACCGCATCCGTTCAGCGGAAGCTCTCAAGCAAACTGCCTCTGAAGATGCAAGGCACTCGTGCTTGGGAAACGTTAGGAAGAAATTCAATTCTACAACGGCCTACAAACACGGAAAACTCACAATTATCAATTCCTTGTTGATTTAGGCAAATTTGCTGTTTGAGTTTGCCAAAGATATGATAAAGACACAAGAATGCTACTTTTAGATAACTTGAATCTTAGGCGAGAAAACTGTTTGTCTTTGAGAGCGATAAAAGGACGCAGATTTAAGTCATTTAGCAACGTTGTTATTTTATTTTTATGGATTAATCCGAAAGCATGACCAGACTACACGGGACACCCGGTATATATTGGAACCATTTATTTCTTCGATCAAGTCAATTTTTCGACAAAAGTCTGCTACGCACAAAACACACAAAACGCGACAAAAGTTGCAGATTTTTGAAGAAAATTGTGCCCGTATAAATTTGGAAAAAATCGGATTTAAATGCAAAATAAACTGGTGTTTGGGTTAACAGTTTTCTATAAAATGTGCAAATTTCAAGTCGCTGTCCCTTTTAGTTCGAAAGTTATGAATTTTTAAACAAAGACGTGTTTTACGTGTTATTAAACATTAATTGTTGCTTGCCTTGATAAATTAGCCGAAAATCAGCTTTTAGAACAAGATAGCTGAAAATTTGACGGGTTTTTGCCTCACTAATCTCCTATTGAATGTGCAAGTTTCAACATGCTACTTGACACAGTTTGGAAGTTGTGAGCTTTCAAAGAAAAGCGTCTAACTTGGTGACTATTATACTGGGTGTTCCGTAAGCACATGATCAAAAGAATACTGCGATATTCTTTGCATAAAAAAAGACGATCTGACCTGACTTTTATTAACAAAAAATGTCTGGCTCCTCTGCTATTGATAGTCAAAGTTCTTCAAAAAAGTATCTTTTTTTGAAATATCGGGAGAATTGTATTTGTTCACATTGTTAAATGGCGAGAAAACACATATTACTTGCATCCAATTCACAACAGATGCTGTTCTTTGCGCGATTTGTAAATGTTGGTCAGAAAATTAAGGTTTTAAAGGCAACTGCAAACTCTCCACTAAAAAAACGCAACTTCTAATCTGGATCAAGAAGCGATCTGAAATTTCTACAGTCGATAGAAGAGACTTCAAACTTTCATCCAAATCAGAGATGCTGTTCTTGCGCGGTTTGTAAATTTTGGGCCGAAATAAACGATTTTGAGCAACTGCAGACTCTCCAATAAAAAATCGCTGCTTCCAATCCTTATCAAGTAACGGTTTCAAATTTCTGTAATCGATAGAAAACACTTCCCTGTAAAACCGTTCCAACTTTCGAACGTGTTCACGCAACTGCAGACTCTCCAATAAAAAAATCGCAACTTCCGATATAGAGCAAGTAGCCATTGGAAATTTCTACAGGCGATAGAAAACACTTCCATCTAAAAACCGGCAAAGTTTCAACCAAATAGCATCAGACGCTGTTTTTCTTTTTATCTTGGTCTGAAAATGAACGGTTTTAACCGAATGTAGATTTTTCAATAAAAAATCGCAACTTCTAATCGGGGTTAAAGAGCGATTTGAATTTTCTGTTGTCGATAGAAGAAAGACACTTCACTCTAAAAACCCTCAAACTTTGACGAAAATTGCACAGAATGCTGTTTTTTGCGCTCATTGTAAATCTTGTCTGAAAATGAGCGCTTTTACGCTAGCGCATAAAACTTCATCCTAA